AAAAATAAGAAGGAAAGAAAACGTCCATTTCAAATAGTCAAAAGTCGAAGTTGATGTTCCATTGCTTCAACCGGGTCAAAAGTCTAGAGTGAACGCTAGAAAAGTCAAAGGTGTAGGTCGAGATATATATATTTTTATTCTTAGCCTTGTTAATTTCTACATTTGTTTTTATTCGTTTGGAAAATGAAACCAAAACGCTATTGAAATGGTTTTTCAGAAAAAGATGAAATGAATGGAGAGTAGTTTTGTGGGTCAAGTTCAACTCTCCAACTGAATTGATCATTAATTTAGCAATATATATAAGTTTAGATTATCACAATGTATATACTACATTCTTCATTTCCTGATGAAATTATTTCACCTAATTATTTTTACTTGAAATAATCTTAAAAACATATTTTCACCTTGTTTGCATTCTCTTAATTATTAGAAAAAAATTTTAAGGTATTTTTTTAATTGAAAAACATACTATGCGAAAATAAAGACAAATCAAAATAATTTATAATAAAGACCGGAAGGAGTAATTTTTTTGTATAATTTTTATTAAAAAATATAGAGTTAAATTTGACCATCGTTTCGGCATAGAACAAATATATTTCCCCAATTAATTTCTGAGCAATTATTCATTTACACAAATTGTCAAAAAACCTCCAATACCTCATGAATAGTTCCTCAGTTATAGAAGTCACTTCCACGTGATGGATAGTTAATTAGATTTCTCTCTATTGTCAAAATCTTATTCTAAATGTACCACTCTATTAGCAAACTCAGCACAGACTAACATAAGCGGTTTCAGGAGATTACGAGTGTTTTCTTCCAAAATCCTCCAAACCTGTATTCACCTCAGTCTCATACTTCATAATTTATAGCGTGAATTATTTTAATGAATAAAAAATGTACTCAATAACAATGAAAATAATAATAAAATATCATGCATGCAGAATGGGAAGAAAAAAAAGTACTACCTCCGTCAAAAAAAAAATTTATATTGAATTTTTAAATTTGTCTAAAATAATACAAAATTCGAAACTTATTAATACAGACTATTTTTTATGGGACGGAGTGAGTAATTAATTGAGATTCTGGTTATATAGAAAAGCGGGAAAAGAGAGTAGCAAGATATGAACATGAACAGGTTGTAGATAAGTTGCACGTGTGTGGAGTGAAGTAGTACGTGTAATAGTTAATCTAACGCCAACTTCATCCTCTCCTAGTTGATCCCCAAAATATCAAAAAAATAAATACATAATTTTTTTAGAAAAGAAAAGAAAAAGAAAGGTGAAGAATCCTCCTCCAATACGCAGAATGTTCTACAAAGGGGCATCGATACCACAAGTTTTTTTCTTTTTTTTTTTTAATAATTGTTGAAGAGGGAATCCCCTACCATTTTTTGATGCCGTGGCACACTTTGATGCATAGTCATTGTGACACCTGTTTCCCTCTGCCTCACTCATTTTGACTGATGATACAACCTATATGTTTTTTTTTTTAAGGTAAAACATATTGCGTCTTTTTCATTATTTATTTTTATTTTAATATACTAACAATTTTGGAAGAATTGATCTCCAGGGAGTACAGTTGAAGTTTATGAAAGGGACAGAGCCGAGTTTACGTGTCATACGTTTGAAGATTCAGTGAGGGGAGAGCTGTGATGAGATGTTGTTTTCTAAATTTTCATTTTCATTTTTTATTTTTTGGAGTCGTAAAAATGAGATGAAATTAACTCTAGAAAAAAATGGGTTTAAGGAAAGAGATTCACCATCAGGACATCACCTCTATATATCTGTCTGTCTATGAGTGTGCTTTGGATCATTTCTGTTTTTGTGAGTTCTTACACCTCTACGAACTACTCCACTTCGATTTTATTTTACCTTTTTTTGACTTGTAAACTTTTATGAGAACTACTATTGTTGTCAAAATTTGGACTATTTTGTTAAAGGTGCTTTATCGCACGGGAATTTCGTCCCCGCTGATCTCATAGTCTATCAACCAAAGAGATAGATACAACTTTGTAAAGATAAAGTTTTATAAGCTTTTTTGTCAATTTATTTTCAACATAATTACTCAAAAAACATAAGTACTAGTCTATATTTTTGCAAGCTAAGAGTCCATCTGGAGATGCATTCTCAAGTTGAGGGACGATAAAGGCCATTACACCCTTTTTTTTTTCTTCTTCTTCTTCTTCTATTGGTTTCAAAGCTTATGAGATTGTGAGCAAAGCGATTTTTGCAATGAATTCCTCCCGGTCTCACTTATTTTTTTTTCCCGGAAAAGATACCTGTATATTAATTATGAATAAATACCTAAACTATTACAATGTGAACTATTTTTAAGGATAGAGTGTTAAGAGTTTACAAGGCATATAAATACTGTATCACTTAAAGTGTTGTGCAGTGGGGAGAAATGATCAATAACATATAATTCATTGTTCGCCCAACGCAAGCATGTCTTTTCTAGATTTTGACTAATTAAAACTCTCCTTTGGAAGGTTTTTCTCGCATTTTCCTCATATTAGAAAAATAAAGCTATCGTTTTCTATATGATCAATGTAATGACTAATTCCACCTTTTAATTAATACTCTAATAATCCCTTATTTGACTTATTTATAATGCATTCCATTTAGTTTATAATGTACCAATTAGGAAATTTCTAATTTTGACGAATCTTAATGCAATGAACCAATAAAATGGACCTGCGTGTGTATCTAAAGTCAGTCTTTCCCACGGTATCATGCACTTTCAAATTTCGTAGAAATTTTCATACAACCGCCATATCATACGAATTAAAACATCTTTGGTCCAAACCTAGAGGGTTTTGCCTCACACACTATTTTAACTATTCAATTATTATTATTATTTTAAGACGAGAAGAGCATCAGGAAAATTGTACAAACATTCAAGGAGCTATAATAGCTTATTTGTCCTTATTAACTATTCGTGTACAGGATACAATTAGTCCATTTTCGTGATCAACTTCAACCATCAAAACCGAGAGAGACATTCATAATTTGGTTTCTTTCAGAAAGAATATAAATAGACAAGGAAATCGATTGATCTCGAAACACAAAAAAAAAAAAAAAAAAACAGAAAGCTAAAATATTCTCAAATTGAGGGGATAGAAAGGATGACCGAATCGACATTTATATACATTGGGTTTTTCTTATCCTTCCCGGTTATGAAAGGCTCTATACTCCTTCAATATCAAAATAATTATTTTATTTAGTACTTCCTCTAGTCCTTAATATAAGGCATTTTGATTTGTTCTAGGTTTAACTTAGTACACATTTTTAATCGACGGAAAACCTTAAAAATATTTCATAGCAATCAGATAACACAACCAATATGAAAATATATTTTTAAGATTTTTTTAATTAAAAATATGTACTAAGTGAAACTTAAAAAAAGTCAAAATACCTTATAATAAAGACTGGAAGAGTATAAACTTTTCATATAAAAATTAAGACAACCATTTTTGGACAACAAGAGGATTACATTCTCTTTAAAAAATTGAGTAAATTATTAGTGAGTTCGAGCAAACAAAAATGAATTGGTTTCTATAAGTCATTTTCTCTTCAAAAACGATACAAGAAAGTGAAAGGGAGAGCCCTGGAATGGACGAAACGAAGCATCAAGAGGATGCCCGAAAAATTGAAAAAAGTTCGAATCCTGGAATAAAAATGTCATTCAAAGAAATACCCATGATTTATTTATTTATTTATTTTTGGTCCTCATCAATAAGAAATGCTTTAATGGCTCATTCAAGAAGAAGATTGTTTATCATAAAACTTATTAGTTTGTATTAATAGGCTTATTATTTATAATTAATTTTCTGACGGTATCGTTTTCCTTTTTGAATGTTCACAATCGACAGTAATAAGTTTGTGATTTTCTTGAATGTATATAATCTTCAGAGGTGGCGTCCAATTTATGGCTCCATAAAGATTACATGGTTGGACACGTAGAATGTAGTACGAGATTGATTGAAGTTGTTACATGCAAAATGTAATTGTTCTTTAAAAAAAAAATAAAAAATCTGAAGAGTGAATTTTCACATTACGAAAACACACGTGTACTCATTCACCCGATAATAAGATCACGTGTCATGTGCATTCACTACGTTGGAATTTCATATGAAAATCTCAAAAGGACGACCCAGAATCAAAATACTCAAACAAAATGTCACATTCGGTTTACTATTTATTTATAACTTTAACTAACTACAACTCTCTCAACAAGTGGTTGTTTCGCAGAGGGGGCTCTTTTTTTTTATCCTCGTTGGAATGGGCTTGTTGTCCCTTCTTTTTATATGTACTTAAAAAAAAAAATTTATTTAAAGTTTGTCCCTTGAATGAATTTAATATTATGAAAAATTAACTTATGCAGTGTGGAATGTGGAACAATCCAGGTCATTGTACATTGGCACTCAATTGGACAATTGCATTATTTGATGATCACTGCACCACATTGGACGATTGAACTGTTAGATCACTACATTGTGCTTCTTTTATTTTATTGAAAAGGTTAAAAAAAAAAAAAAGTAGAGTAGAAAAGAATCATGAAACTTAATATTGTCCCAACTTGAGAGCATTACTACCATGCATTAAACTTTCTGTAAATTTTGAACTCTAAAACCAAAATTTTACTCATCTGCAATATTACCACATTTTGCTGAATATTTTTCATCTGCTATTAATGAAATGTGTCACATTTGGAAATCGGAATACATATAGCTAGCCAGTTGTACACCCCAAATACTACAACTCGGATATTTGATCGTGCAATTTGAAGGTGGACAATTGGAGGGCAAGGGCATGGACCAATGTGTCAATTCTTCACTCAAATTAAATGACATTTTTTATTTGATTTTTTCCCTGCTTTTTCTTTTTTCTGGGAAGTGAATTTGCAGTTAGCTAAATCTACATTCCAAGATTTAAGACAAAAAATAACGCTCTCAAAACAAAACAAAAAAAGAAAAAAAAAAATGAAACCAAGAGGAAAGGAAAAAAAAAAAAAAAAAAGCATGCTTAGAGCATGTTTCACGTGCCCACAAGCCAACCACTCTTTTGTTTAACCATATATGGTTTTTTGACATTAACAATGGCCTAGGCAGGCATGTATTAGGCGTTGACGGTTGAAACCAGTGCAAGTAATCATAAACATAACAAAAATCAGAGTTACATTTTGCATCACTCTATGTATATGAAGCTCATTATCGAGAATGATTTTTGAAATGTTTCTTTCAATCACATTATCAACCAATAAGTAAATAACAAAACATAAGCGGTTGTATCCTCACATCCTTTGTTTCTATTCAACCTACAACATTGCAATATTACTAAAACCATGGAAATGAAGCAATTTAGAACAACAATTGTAGTATAGGAATCTACACGTAATTATAATTTTATCAGCATTTCAAAATGCAACATTTTTATTTAATGTACACTTACCACAAATACAAGGTTGAAATAACAATAGTAAAGTATATAAGATATTTAGGAGAAAAAAATAGGTAAAGTTTTCAATTGACACTGACATAGCAAGTTGCAAAGCAAAATCAACCAAAGCTCCATTGAGCCATCAAAAGCCAAAAGACGACTTAACTCTTCTTATCCTAATAGATTAGACCAATTCAATTATGTCAAAATCAATTCACCATTAACCTCAGCCCAGAAAAATAAAAATAAAAATAAAAATGAAAATAGAAAAGGAAAACAAAAACCCACGAAAGCACGAACGAGAAAGCTCACAAGAAAAACCAACCCACTCAGTCGAAAAGATGCACCCAAACTGATCACCACCGTTTAAAACCCCCAATCCAACGGCCAATACAAAACCCCTCCACCAAGAAACCGCATTATAACAACACCAAAGGAAAGGGGGGCGGCTGACCTAATGCATGATTCCGCGAACCAAGACACCTAGCTTTTATCACACCCAATCAAATTTCGACACGTAATGAGATTGATACCGCCTTTCCCCATTCACCATTCCCACGAGGCGACCACCTGTGGGCTCCCCCGGGCCCCCTTGAAGTTTCACCTCGACCGTCCAAAGAACTTTCCCAAAATAACAAGAAGCCAACACTAAAACAATATTTAAAAACTTTATAAAAAAGAAAAAATTAAACAAAGACTTATCAAAATAGAGAAAATGAAAATAAATGAGACAAGATATTACTAAATCTATAATAATTATTATGGTCTCATTACCATATATAAACAGCATAACTATCATCTCAAAAGAGGGTACATTGGTCATTGGACATCATCCTTCCCATTCTAACCCCTGGCTCAAAACAATATTTACAACCTTTTCTCTACACAAAACTACTTAGGTAAAAAGGAAACTAAAAGGAGAACCGAAATATGTATAATCACTTCCTTTACTTCAAACCACTGTATTTTTAGATATTGAGACTTTAGTCTTTTTAACTTATTTGTGTTCTAAGTGCAATAACTCCTAACCATTACCACATTTTACCCCCCCCCCCAAAAAAAAACTAAAAAGGTACCTCCTAATTTCATCACCACATTCTATTAGTAAAAACTGCTGCTGCTGCTGCTTCTATGTACACTCCAAAACATCGGCCTTTTTCGAGGTCTGAAAAGCACTTGATGCTTTTGGAGAAAGGACCATACTGCTGTATTATGTTGTTGTGGAGATTGAGAAGAGGGCTTAAAAAAGAGCTAAAATTTAGACATGATGGATTAAGCAGGAGAGGGGGCCAGTAGTGAATTAGTATTCAACTACCACTCCCATTGGGGCTCGGTGTGGAATTCCCTTCCTCCTCTTGGCTGATCGGTAATTGACTGTTGGAGGCGGCGTTGAGGGAGTAAAACTGGGTCCTTTTCCATGGCTGCTGCTGCTTGGGCTCTTGTGCCGGCGGCCGTGACTGCTGCTGCTGTATGAGTCCTCGGAATCAGAGAGGGATGACATCATTGCCCTTTTCTTCTCTGGGGAATGCTTCTTCTTACTGAAGTTTTTGGACGTACCCACAATCTGGAAACAAAAGAGAATCAATCAATCAATCAATGTCCATTCAATTAATTTAGTACATTGCATTTAACAACACTGACAAAAAATCTTCAATTAGCATTGAATTCACAAATAGCTCTAATCTAATCCCATTTTTTAAAAGCAAACGCCCAAATGAGGATCATCAATCAATTGAAATGGAACAGTATATTTTTCCAAGAAAAAAAATGATCAAATAGCCCACGAATTAAGAACGAATTCGAAGGGACATTCTTGGTTAAATACCTTGCAGCCCAGAGAGCAGAACCTAAAGGAGTCCAAGAGACTGCGCTCACAAACTTCACAGGTGTTTGTAACGCCTTTGCCAGGCCTAGGCTGAGGCCTTTCATTCAAGAACACAACCTTAGCACTATTGATAATGTAGGTCTGCACAGAGGAGATATCCAGATACTTCTGAATTTCATTGACCCTGATCACATCATGGTAGGAGGACCTCCTTATCTGCAAAAACATTGAGCAACAAACAAAACAGAACCCAAATTAGAATTGGTAGTATTCTCATAAGAATAATCAAATTCATTCAAGAATGACTAGCATTTGGGAAAAGTCAACGGTGGGTGAACTATCAAACAGTTGTAAAATGCGTAACGAAATTGAAAAGCAATCAAAGAATACACAACGAAAACTGCAACGACCAGGAAAGATTTCGGTTTCTGATTCTCATACGAATGAGGGAATTGAAAGAGACCGATACAAAAAGCTGCAATTTTATCAAAAATGGCAGACATCCAGATACCAAAATTGGGAAAAACAGGGGAGACCGAATCAAGAACACCGAATTCTGGACAAAAGAAGCACAAACCTGAATTGCACGGTGGTCCTTGTGAAAGGCCAGACACAGTGAACAAAGAGCGCCATTCATACAATCCAAACAATACATATTGCATTCGCTCTTGTGGGAGTCAGCGTGCATTTTGCATTGAACAAAGAACTGCTCCCTTAACAGAGGCTTCAACCATGGCGGCCATCGATTGTCATCCTCATCAGGCCCTCCAGCTCCCTAATCAAAATTCCAAACCCAGAAAAGTCAATTAAAAACAGAACAGACAAAAAAAACAGAGGAAATGGAAACCAAAAAACCCAAATTCAAGAAATGGGAATTCAATAACAAACAAACAAGTACCATGATTCGCCTGCTCTTGGGCTTGATTTCACGAACGATTGATTCTTGATTTTCGATCGCCAGCTTGAAAGTCGGTGAAATTAGCAGCAATGCCAACACAAATATCCCACTTCTCTACTACTGGTAAAAATGTCGAAAACCACAGTGGACTAATCAATCACTTCTTCGATTACTGCAATTCCTCTGTGTATGCGAGTAATTCCGTCAGGAAGGAATATATATTGGTGTGTAGTTAATTCAGTTTGTGCGTTGTTGCCGTGTCTTGGAGAGTGGATTGAGAGAGAAATTGTAGGAAGAAGAGGGAGAGAGAAATAGAGAGAGAGAGAGAGATGTATTAGTAGGCTAAAGAAGAGAGGGTTAAGAAAGTGGAGGCGGAGGGAAGGAGGAAGGCTACTTGTAGAGAAGAAAACCAAGAGAAAAGAAAAGGTTTGATGAGAAGGGGGGGTGGTTTGGGGGAACTAGGGGGAGGGGTAGAGTTGTTCTTATCCTTTCAAAGTCATACATAAACAAATTCCGAGCCTGGGTCCGAACCCGAACCAAGAGATACGTTGGGTGCAAGGAACCGACCTCCTTCTTTCCTTTTTATTTTTTTTTTATTTTTATTCGCCTTTCATTTTCATGTGTTGCATATTCTTTCTTTGGTCTTATCAATTTTTTTTTTTTATCTTGTCACTAAAACTCACTCTAATTAATTGGTTAATTTTTATTCTTTTCTTTTTAGAGGGGAAGATGAATTGTTATTACTAGTACTAGTGTTTTCGATATAATTAATGTTGTTTCTTATGGGGATTTGGGGTGGGTTTTAATGGAAAGTGAATCTGCATTATCTTAATGACATGAGGATTTGGTTCTTATTTAAGAGGCTAAATGAGTTGGCACATTATTCCAATTTTATCGTATTTTGGCTGCTTCGTATACATGATTAGTTTTCACATAATATGTTTGTGTTTTAGTAATACTAGTATCTATCAAACAGACCCTCCTAATTACACCTAATCTTTTGGTTAGAACAATGCAATTATCTGATATTGTTTCTTGCTCCCCAAGTTTTATTTTCCTTCGATTCTATCTGTTTTAAATTTGTAGTATTAGAATTTCCTTATCTAAATATTAACGGCGGCAATGCGGATATTTTACCTATAGTAGAAAAATTTTAAGTGAAAAAGTTTAAGCTTATCATTTTGTTTATTACGTAGTAAATGATAAACTTATCGTATTATGTAGATGATTTTGAGAATTTTCATATTTAAAATGAATGAATCCTCTATCCGATCAGCAAATTGAGCAATTACAAGGTTGACCATCACTATTACAATCGCGTATCTATTTAGTAGTAGTTGTGCAATTGTTCATGCCTCTTTGGGTAAATCACCAAAAAAAAAAAATCGAAGAAATTGAAAGAACAATGAAAATAACAAAAACTGTAATTAACAATCTTTGTATTTACATATATATATATATATATGTTGTACTTCAATTGCTCCCACGAGGTAAACCATTGCTTCCAAATCACTTTTGTTAATCATATGTTGCTAGACAATTTCCAACGCCATCAATTGGGAACCAAATCAAAGTAGTCAAACTAAGTTTCAATAATTGAGCCTTTTTTTTCAAAAAAAGAAAAAGCTATTTTTGTTAGTTATATGTACCAGAATTCCAGAAGAATGAAATAAGATGACTAAATTTGGGAGTGTTTGAAAATATGAGGGTTTGTTAAGCTCCATTGACAAAGATAGTGGGGGCATTCGAATAAATGATAATAATATCCAAATTAACAGGACTTCTGTTTCCTGTCACATAGCGGTTTGATGGAAAACTGCAGCACACATACGGCAAAATCTGATAATTGACAGATTCACATTAATCTAATCATTTTTTGCCAATTTTATGTAGGAAAAAAACGAATGGCTTTGATTTGATTTCCATTATATTTACATACCATGAACAAACATTATTTAGGACCCCTTAGGTATCAATCCTATCCGGTCTCATAGGCTTCTATTTTTCGCTTGATCTTCTTTTTTTGTGTGTATATTGATTATATTGCTGTAGATTGACGCCAATGTTAATGGAGGAAGAGGCCAAAAAGAAATATTACTCCTTATCTATTACTTTCAATTTAATAAAGTCAACTATCAAAATGAAACGGATGAAGAATAATTGAAGAAAAAATAAGAAAAAAACAAATTGCATTTCTTTTTGGTTGAAGGGTAAACAAATTGCATTTCTAATTGCGAAAAGATATTCTAACAGGCACGCAATGACGCAAAAGTTCCACTTCTGATATTGTTATCTTCAAATATGGATATGCAAAATTGTTTGGGGGCTGGTTTGCCAATTCCAGGAAAAGATAATTTTTTAAAAAAGAAACAAAAAAGAACCCTACTTTCAGTATTATTTGCCATTGAAAGTTTTCTCTCTTTTTTTTTTTCCTTTTTTTTTTTTCAATTTCCGTTTTCATGTGTGTCTTTAAAATGAATTTGGTAGATGAAACCCAATAATTTCTGGAAATAATGGACAAATAATTCAACATTAGCGAATTTCTTGTCAAATGCATTTCTTCTATTTCCTTTTGTTCCATGAAAACATCTTTTCTCCTATATTTAAGAGATCATATACATTATACATGCAGTTCACTTTGTAGTACTTACAGTCTTCATAGTGAAAAGTATCGCGTCATCACATATTTGCAGTTAACATTTAAATTTTCGATTTAGACATGATAAAACAATACTCTCATATCATGTTTTAAATTAGGGTCCATTGCCTCCCTTCTATCTTTACCCAATAATATATAAGATCAAAACTATACTCCATAGTCCATCCGCCCCAAAAAAATCATATAGTTTTAATTTGTGATAAATAGGTAGAGCAGAAACCAAAGTTTCTTACAAAGTCTTGGAATTAGCTGTTGAGTTCAGATTGTAGTGGTTATATGCAATACAGATTTACAATTTTACCGGAAAAAAAAATTGTTATAGATACTATAAACATTATAATTTTGAAATTGTAGTGTGATGAATTATCTGTTTTCGAGACGGGTAGGGTATAAATTTAAATAGGCATTTTTACATCTTCAAAACCGTTCCCAGACAAGGGGGATACTACTCCATGATTGATCTTTGAGATGATGCCTTTATAGAACATCATTTTCAGAAAAACTTATAGTCTACAACTTCTCTTATGAAATATACATGTCAACCAATGAGAAGAGAAGCTTGTTTTGAGTCACTACATCCTCCCAAAACAGCCCCTGGGGTCGATCTTGTATGGGGACTATGGATTTAACTCCATAGATTGCCACATTATCCTTTCAAGTGTCTCACGTAAATCCGTCCGCGTAGTACCTTTCTAGAGATGTTAAGTACATATTTGTCACAAAATTACAAATGCTTATTAGTAATTTTATATAATTAAGAAAAATTGCAAAATAGGATGTACAAGATAGGAGTTTAATGTTGATTTGTCTATTTAATAAGCTAGATATATAGCCAGATATTTTCCCCACATTTTCGTCCTCCCTTAATTAGGGCCAATCGTTCATTGGATGAAAACGAGAGAGAGAAAAAATATATATATATATATATATATATATATATCAATGTGTTAAAAATCGTAAATACCTCTCAATGGGTTTTATGTCAAAATTTCATGACCGGAGATCTTTCTTTGTTGAGGCAATCAATGAGAAAATAGTTTAACCTCTCTTTCCTCACTCAATGTTCTTAGATTTTTCTTTTTTTCTTTTTTAGTGGTGTGTGAAATTAAAAGTTCATTCAAAATGAGAAACAAGTAGCAGAAAATAATAGTCACACACATTGAAGTAAATGTATGATTTAATGTGTCTTAATCACAATCATGATCTTATTACTGAAAGCTCGAGGGTTCAATTCTCATTGGGGCCATTCAATTTTTTTATAAAAAAAATCACGATCATGATCTTATTTCTGTAGCACGTCCATTTTACATTTATGTGATACTTTTCATAATTCGAAATAACTTCTTATCAATGTGAACGAGTCAGGAGAAAGAAAACTTATATATACATTTTCACACTTATATTTCTAAGATATTGTAATGTTAATATAGATATGTTCCCCTTTCATCCAATTTTCGGTTCCAGCAACCATAATTACTATTAACATTAAAACCCTAATAAATAGATAAGAGAATCTTAAAGGATATGTGATTGAACATAATGTGATAGATGGACTTAAAAAGTGTTAAAAAAAAAATACTCCTTCATCCCCACAAAAATAGTCCACATTGAATTTTATAATTTGTACTAAAATGTAGACTATTTTTGTGGGACGGATGTAGTATAATACAAAACGCGTTGGAGTGTGTTTATACCTTGATCGAGTATAAATTAAACTAGATGCTTGTCCCGGGCAAATGCCCGGGGGCGTCCTCCCACCTAATAAATTGATATGTAAATAATCAAAACTGATTAGGAATGAATTTAGTTTTTGATGAAGATAATTGATTGACCGAAAATTAATTTTTTTGAAAGTCTTAAATAAGTGGAGAAAGAAAGTTCTATTCACTGTCAAATGCAAAATTTAAATGAACATGACCATCTTATCTCTTCGTTAATATTGTAAATATATTTTTTGTTTTTAAAAGGGGATGACACGTGGCAGAATAGTTTATGCAATATGGTGCATTTGGAGCCAAAACATTTTAATACAAAATTGCCACATCAGCATCCTGTTTTTTACTTTAATAGGGTAAAAGGGATTATTAACCTAAGCAGTGATAAGTTCGTCATTAAGTATGGTAAGCAATTAGGCCTCTATAATTCGTACATTGCCGAGCTGGCAAGCTCTTAACAAATGCACGAAACTATAATAGCAACATTGCTATTTTCTTTTCTCCCAAAAAAAAAAAAAAATTACTTGAAATGTATGAGGTGAAATGAAGATAATTTAAAGGGCAACGGATAGTGGTTTAGCCTAAGATTCCACTCGGAATAGAGTAATGGAAGATGAACCAAAGACTTGTACAAATGATATGGACATATTCAACTTTGGGTTTTAATGCTTCAAAGACGAAATAAAGCAATTTACTTCAAGAATTAATAATGCCCTTAATCATCAAAGAAAAAAGAAACCCACTGATTAAAATATTGCCTAATAAGATAGGTTAGTCATTAGCGTGCTTAGGGGATCCTAGTTTTGCGATGATGGTCCCTTTGAAAATGATTTATTCGGCAAATTAAATATGAGCTATACGTACATTATTGATCTACTTATATGTAGAAAACCAACATGTCCTTTTCTTTGTTATTCAATTTCTGTTTTTTTAACTGCCGATTGAGAGAGGAAGAGTAATTATTATCATTTCAAATGTCTCAAACAACGATGTCGCATAGACAAAAATATGAAATCACTAATTATATGATAAAAAAAATTTTTACGTCATTTTTTTGGTTTACATTCCGTGACTCATTT